GGGCATAGCCTTTCACCTCCAGTGTGGGCCTCTCAGGCCGGCGATGCTGGCCCTGAGCACCAAGCCCTGGCTGTCCTATAACTTCCAGGGCAAGAACCACTGCCGGGGACCCAACAGACCCAACGGTCCCAGGCGTGTCGTGTTTTCGGAATCCGGCCGGACCCCCGCAAAAAGTCACCCCTCGGATTTTCGAAAAAAATGTGGAGCCCAACCGAGCCAACAAAGACACCAGATTTGGGGTCTCAGAGTGTATTGTTCAAGCCAGTAAAGCATAAATTTTAAGCAACAATTGTTTTCCGCGGAGCAACTCATCTAATTCTGGGTTCCATTTGGGCCCTAAGCCTTGGGCCATTCTGTTAATGGGAATCGGTTTGCAGACTTCTTTGGTGCGCGGGGTCGGAAGACATGCGCCAGGCTACGCAACCAATTGGCTCTTGGGCCTTTGAGAAGGTGATTCTACCACTTGGCTTCGTTCCATTTGCTGCAAGATAATATCGCGTTTATTTCCCCAAGGGAAGCTATCACTAGTGGAATGGACGTATTTTTTTCCTAGGGGACGCAAGCAAGTGGAGGCGTATAAATGCCCTTTAAGCCAATTCGAAAAAGGGTGGCCTCAAACGACGCCACCTTGATTTGCCTGTCAGAACATGTTGGTGGTTGCATAAGTTCCCTACTGAAAGGTGGAAGGGTTCAACCCCCGAACGGCCCGAACCTTCGTGAAGCTCCCTGGGAATTGGAGTTGCAAGCCCGGCAGGTCCACGTTTTTCTGAAGCAGGCCTTCCCGGATTCTCCGATCCCAAAACGATTTTATATGGTGTAGACCAAGTATGAAGCAGAATCAGAAAGTTTGTTTTCTGTGACTCCTTTTTGTGAAGGCCAGGATCCAACCCCCGCTAAGGGGAAACCGACGCCAATTTTGGGGGTGCCCCATTTCAAGACCCCCTCTTGCTGGGTAAAACCACCCCAAAACGTCCGAATCCACCCCAAATGGTGGGAAAATGTGGAGAATAGCCCTACATATTTCAGCTAAACTGGGCAGAGGCAAAAGGGGTGGCTGAGACACTGAGGCACACCGATGAGCTACGAGCAGCTGGAGTTTGCCTCCTCCTTCGCCTCCGAGCAGTGCCCCGAAGGCTGGCGGTTTGCTTCACGGCTGGGGGGGGAGGCCGGAAAAATGTGGGGCGGATGGATGGGGGGATGAATGGGGGGGAATGGGGACGGGATGGGGGGGGATGCGGGGGGATGGGGGGCGGATGGGGCGGGATGGGGGGGATGGGGGGAGTGTGGGGAGGGGGGAGCAAAGAGGCTCTCCCAGCGATTCCATTTACCAGTTGTGCAGGTATCCAAACGGTTCCCATTACCACTAGATTCAAGTTACCACTCTAGTAGTTGTTTTTGGTTTTTACAGGCTGGCGAGCCATCAGCAAACGGGTTTCCCTCAACATAGGAATTCGGAACCCAACGAATGCTTCGTTTCCTTCCTGGCTCCCGAGAAAAAGTTGTTGCCTGGAAAAAAAGGGGCAAATACCCTGTTGATGTCTTGCAAGTAAAAGTCTCCGTTCCGTGGGTTGTAACCAGGCTTACTAGCGACTTACCTGAGATACCCTGCCTCGATCGCCCCTTAAGTACCTCGGTGTCTTTTCGGAAGTTGGTACCTTGTCTGGTGGTTGTTCGATCGCACCTTTTTACGCAGGGGGCCTTTGCCACGTTTCGCCCTTGCGCGCTTTTTTTTCACCCCAAGGAGCTGCCGAGAACTCTGCGCAAGTAAGGTGGCGCGTCAGTTTTGAAGTTGGCACCCCAAGGAGCTGTGAAAGGGAAGCCACAACCGTAGGGGTCCACCGATGTCATAAAAACAATGGTTGACCCATTTCGGAGGATGAAACTTCTTAGTTAAATAGTGGTGATTATTGGTTGCCCCCCATGGTTTCAATGGTTTGAACCCCAGGGACAAGGACAATCCACAATTGTGGGGGTCGATTCCGGAAAAAAGAAGGCGAAAGACACCGATCTTGTGGCCAGCTTGAAGGCAGCTCGAAGTGGCAGTCTTCCAGGACATGGCCACTGTTTTAAAGGCCTTTTTCCGCAGTGTTGGCACCAGCAGATGCTGAGGTTCCCTATCAGAATCATTTCATTTCGGGAGGGTGTGGGGCTTGGTGTCTCCCTCTTCCAGGCTTCGTCGCGATCTCCGGCAACACGCTGCGCGGGGTGCTCGTGGGATTTGCGCCACTGGCGTTGGCGTTTGAAGGAGCACTGAAAAGGGGATTCGGGACTGTCATGTGAAGATCTACTTTGCTGTTGGTGGCATGTGTTTTTGTTTTCTCCTTGTTTTTCTGGTTTTGATCATTGTTTGTAAGCTGATGCAACAAACAAAGTGTTTTGCTACCATACCAAGGTGTGGACTGTTGTTTAAACATTCAAGATGCATGTACCTAGGCAGCGTTCTCAGCTGGATGAGCTAGCAATCCAAAGCGGAACCGAGTTGGTCACAGGCTTGTTCAGGCTGAGAGGACTCGCCTTCCCAGCCCTCCAGTGGTGTCTGTTTCCCAAGTTGTTTGAAGAGGTTTCCCTTCAACCAACTTTTTGGGGGAGGGTTCCCCTACTACTAGAATAGACTACAGAATAAAAGGGTAGTACCCATATTCTATCCTCTCTACTGGAGGACCTAGCCTTTAGAACAAGCTACCAACAGAAGAAGGGCCGCTTTTTGCACGGATGGTTTTTTGGGAGTCTGGGTCCCGATTGGAGAGCAGCTAGTCTTCAAAGGAACCTGGACAAAGCAAGGTATGGCCCGCAGAGCAACTCTCGACACGTTTGTTGGTGCAAGTCTTTGTCCCTAATACTTGGAAGGCAGTGAAACTGCTGAAGGGCCACATATTCAGAGAGATGTCAGAGACAGAGACGCACATGGTTGTTGCCTTTGCGCAGGTAGTTTGGTTTAATAGTAATGCTGATCCGGATTAATAAACCCGTCCCATTACGATTAAATGTTGCTCCAAAATTGATGAATCCCCACTAAAAGGGGGGATCCCCTATCAATCAACCAGGCGTTTATGAATCTGGGGTCAACGTTATCCAACCCCACCAGAAATTCCAATGATTGAATGCCCTCCCACCTTTTTGTTCTGTGGAACCTGACACAGGGCCCTTTCACGCAAAATGGTCTTCCAGGAATCCTTTGTCAGGTCCTGGTTCCATGTGAATTGATGAAAGGGTAGCTCACAAGTCGCATTCATCTCGGTCAAAACGACGCCGGGCTGTGTTTTTGCATAGGCATCTTGGCTTGCGAGCGTTTGGGCGAGCTCTTCAACCAGACGGCGCCGGCCCCAGAGTCGAGGCGGCCTCCGAAGTCTTTGCTTTTTGTTTGCTAGGATCTTCAACCTTTGACTTGCTAATGTGTGTGTGTGTGTGTGCGGAGTGGCAGAATACCCTGCCACCACAATTAAGAGCAGGGGGCCAGCGGCCATCAAGCAAACGCTGGCCAGCGAAGCTATGCTTGATGGTGGATGCACGGATTGATCACCCGTGTGTACCTGCTTTTGTGAAGTGATGTTGGTGAATGTCCAGTTGGCCGCTTCTTCGCCGCTGTGTGTGCTTCATGTTGAACCCTGTAACGTTTTCGACACTAGAGGGAAGCCGAGTGCCCTGCGAGCCGAAACTTACGCATGAAGAACCTTATCCAAGCCGAGACTTACCAGTTGTACTCGAAAGATTAGCACCCTCCATCTGGAGTTTAAGTGTGTGTGTGTGTGTGTTTTCCCATTGACCGACGTAGAAGGTTACTTAAAGGGGCAGGGTACGTCAGGCGTCAGGTAAGTGGGTAATAACCATGGTTATAACCCACAAAAGCCATGGTTATAAGTCTCCCAGGTGGGTTACAACCATGGCTTACTAACCACTTACCAAGTACCCTGCCCCTCTAAGTGTGATTTTCATTAACCAACAAAGAGTTAGGCGTTTTGCAAAGGGGAGGCAGCCACCAAGTTTGGAGCAGCACAGAGGTAGGATAGAGTCAACTGGGGCGTCCGAGACTGTTTTATGCATTTTCGGGTTCACGACATCTGGAACCGCGCATGTTTGGAGGTATCAAAAGAAACACACACACACACATCTGGGGTGCCCTGAACATATGTTTTGGGTACCCGCAGACTTGGGTCGAGAGAATCATGTTGAAGGCCATTTCAAGAGGATCCTTTGTCTTTTTTCTGGGCGCTTCCCAGCCATGCTCCTTAAGTGGGGTGTCCATTTGTTTGACCCACTAAAAGTTTGAAGGGGATCTGATGACAGGAAGATACCTTATATTTTACCAGTCTCCAAAAATGGACCAACAATTTGTATCGCCAGAAGTATCACATAATCCCCCATGGATGTTTTTTTAGTTCGTTCATCATTGCCAGCGAGGTAGAGGCTTCGGCAGGGGTACTGACATATTTGTACTGCACAGTATGACGTTCTGACTGTTGTGTCATGAGTTGACCTGGTATTCATGATTCGAAACAAGAAGGAGTAACACGTAGAGGACACACACGCAGAGACTAAGCGACACACCATCTTCTGGAAGAAAGAATTCATACCCGGATCTTGTGCACGAGTATGTTTTTTTTTTGTTTGTTTCGGTTAGGTCGAGTATGAGAAAGAAGCTGAGAATAGGATGTTCAGGGTGCCCCAGATGTGTGTGTGTGTGTGTGTGGCTGTTTCTTTTGATAGTACCGCGGAAAGGGCTCAGCTGTTCCAAAACGTACGTTTTCACGTTCGGAACGCACGTTTTGAATACTTACGTTCCGGACGCTTCGTTTTGGCCAGATGCGTTTTTCGGCAACCCACTTGAGCAGCCTGCATCGGATCCTTTTCTTGGTTGTTTGGGGATTGGCAGGGACTCACGGATGCGTTTCGGCGACCCGAAAAAAACGCATTTAGGCAACCCTTTTCTTGGGAGTGGCAGGGACTCCTCAAGGATGCGTTTGGTAACCCGAGAAAAAACAAAAAAAAACAAGGGGGAAAAAAGGAGAAAAACAAGGAGAAAACAAAAAAACACATTTAGGCAACCCTTTTGATTGTTTTTAAGGGATCGGCGGGGACTCCTCAGGAATGCGTTTTGACAACCCGATTATGGGTGCTTGAGAGAATAGGGCAGAGGACTTTTTGAGGATGCGTTCTAGCCACTTGAAAAAAACATTTGGGTCACTTTTTCTGGCATCACCTGGGGGACGACCAGAGCTTGTTGCGGGTGAGCTTTTGGTAGAAGCATTCGCAAAGCTGGTGCGCAGATGGTGTTTGAAGAGGTTAGGGAGGTTTTGGAGCGCAGCCGTCGAGGGCCTAGAAGCCGGAAAGTGGCAGAGGGGCTTGCACCTGCAGACCTGGCTGGGAGCTTCCAGAAGCTCGTTTCGTGGCAGTGCGCAAAGGCACGCTTTGAGGCCACGCGTGTTGATTTAGAAGGCGGAGGTCATATTTGCGCTTACTCACGTTGGAAGCATTCTGTTGGGGAAACCACCTGAGCTGGTCTACAATCTCACTGGCGGGAAACTTGCTTCGAGCCTCAGCCGAAAGCTTGCAAGGACTGCGAGTGGAGCAGTGCTTTGGGAATCACACGCTTGGAGCATTGCTTTGAGACACGGATCAAAGAAGCAGAGCACTATCTTCGACACCCGGTGCCATCCCTTCCAGCAGAGTTCCAGGCCAGCGGAGGGCAAGTTGACAAAGCCATGGCGTGGTGTTGTAAGGAGCAGCGAAAGCCTGGGTGCGTTTACGCGTTTCCCCGGGCCGAAAAGTGCATTTTGGAGCCAGGGAGCTTTGCTGCGTTTCCTCGGGCCCAGAAAACGCACGTGTAGCCAGGGAGCCTGGATGCGTTTCCTCAAGCCCAAAAATGTGGATTTTGGAGCCAGGGGTCCTGGATGCGTTTTGTCAGGGGCCACGTTCTGAACGTACGTTACCAAAGATGGGCTCCCTAATTTCTAGGGGTTCATTCCCCATTCTGTTTCCCCTGAAGTTTTGATGGTATTCTGGAAAGAAGGATCCCTGGAAAGAATGGACATGGAAGTGCCCCCTAGATAAATGCAACTTCCAGGGTGGCTTTCCGATGGGCAAAGGGGAATTTCATTTTTTTTGGATTAAATGCTTCCATTTCCAGGGCAAGCCATTTTGGAGTTGCCCTACTGTTTGACAACCACCCAAATCGTGATTTTCATTTTGGGGTCCCCCCCGTGTAACAGGGCAACTTCAGGGGGGGTTCTGCCGGGCACATCTGAGGTGATGAACCTCTCCTACACGCCCCGGCGCTTCGTGCCTCTGCCGCCGGCGGTGCTGCCGCCGCCAGGCCAGCCCACCACGGATCCCATCATGCCGCAGCCCAAGCTGAAGACACACCAGGGGCTGAAGACTGGGAGCCGCTGATAGGGGAGGGGTGGTCCAAGAAAAGATTCCCTGAGGCTCTCTAAGGAGGTCCAAGAAAAAGGATTCTAAGCTTTCCCCAAGAAAGCACCTGGCGAAGGTGGGTTTCGGTTGGCGTCCCTTAGCCAATCAAGGGTTCCCCCAAGAAAGCACCAAAAAGGTGGGTTTCCTGGTTTCCCTTAGCCAACCAATCAAAGCTTCCCCAGAAGGTTTTATAGGGCCAGGCCCTTTAGCAAACCAAGTGTTACTTAGCAAACCAAGAGACGCTGAAGACCAAGAGGGGTTCGACTGGGATACGGTCCCCCGGTAGTGCCCTGGTAACCCTTTTTTGCTGGAGGATTTTCTTTTAGTAGACTACAGAAAAAAACGGTACCGGGTACCCTTCTTCTAACCTCTCTACTGGAGGACTTAATGACCAGGTTAACTCCACTGAACGGGGGTCTTATAAACGGGTTAGAACCTATGCTCCCTTACTCCGGGATTTGGTGAGTCGCACCTTCGGGTTTGAAAACTGGCACCGACTGGGATACTTGGAAGCTGAAGACCAAGAGGGGTGCTGGGAACCACTTCCAGTTGCCCCTCGTTGGTGTTCAAGGGAATCAATTTCACTACTATCACTGGAATCATCAGCCCAAGCTGAAGACCACCAGAGGCTGAAGACTGGGAGCCGCTGGTGGGGGAGCAAAAGGATTCTCAACTCACTTGCCCAAACCCGACCTTTTGACCTTTTGGTTTCGCATGTTTGGTCCATTTTTAATACAGGTCCCAAAAGGTTAACCTTTTATTTCTGGGTCCTTTGGGCAACTGCGCTTTGGTACGTTAGGTGTGTGGCTAGCAACCATTGCAACCCGCTTACCATGATTACTAAGCTGGGGGGGCTTAAGACTGTGATCTACTGGGGGCCTTTTCCCCCTAAGACCGTTACTTGACCAAGGGTGTTCAAGTCGCCAAATTCCAAAGCCCTGAAAACAAAAAACTTCAGATCCAGTTTCCAACCACTTCCAGCTGCTGAAAAAAAGCTGTCTTGTTCTATTGTCCCCTCGTGTTTAAGGGAATCAATTTCACCACCAAGGCCCAAGATTATGGAGTTTCTCGGGAGTGGTCCAAGGAGGGGGGGTTCTCCCCAAGGCTCCCTGCATTAAGGGGCGACTTCGGTACGTTAGGTAAGCGGGTATTATCCATGGTTGTCACCCGCTTGCCATGATTACTGAGCTTGGGGTGTGGACTACTATTCAAACCACTTTCATTTGCTGATTTGTTTTTGTCCATTGTCCCCTGTTGGTTTTCAAGGGAATCGATTTCACTACTGGAAGACTACCATTAAAGCTATGGTCGGATTCATATGGATCTGGCTTTATTGGGTGCCCAATCTGTTTTCAAACACCGCATCTTGGTCTGTTTTCAATGAACTCAAGGAACACCAAAGTGAAAGCCACCATTTGAGGGTTAGGTGGCAATAGACGGGGAACCAGGTGGTTCAATCATCTACCAAAACCATCTATGTCCGACCAACCAAAAGGGGCGCCTATGCCAAAATGGTAAAGAAACCAACCTTCATTTCTTGACTGTTGTGTTGGGGCTTTCCACTAAACCCACAAAAAATGTCCCCTTTTAAGTCAACCAACAACAAAAATATGCCTTTTTTCCCATGGCCACTGGGCATTTGAGTAACCGCCCCCCCATTTTACTTACTTCCATTTGCTAAAGAATATTTATTTTTTATGTCCCCATGTTGGTTTAAAAAGGCATTTATCACTACTAGAGTATTTTTGTTGTTCCAGGGGTCTTAACCAAATGGAAGCTTAAGGGTAAAGAAGCACCGCCTGAAGCCCCCCATGTTTTTGCAACGGCTCGAGGTTGGCGGTACTGGAGGCGGACCACAACGCCTACAACGAGGAGATCTGAGATCTGAACTCGAGAAGGGTTCAAAGCTCCAGTCATACTGTGGATGGTTGCGAAATCCATTTCGCACCATCCACGGGAAACCATGACGTTGGTTGGTGTTTGCAGGGAAATCGAATCATTCCATGGTTTCTTGCGTGGTGCGAAATGGATTTTGTCCATCCACAGTAGGTGTCCTTTTTGGGAAAATAGATGGTCAATGGGGGAAAAACAACCTAAACCAGTGCCATTTGTTTCTGAATAACCTAAAAAGGACACCTATGCCTCCAGTACCTTGAAAGAGCCTTTTTTTCGGGATCACCCCCCTCCCCAAATTCCATATTTAGCGGGGTGGAGATGGCAATAGCCCATATTTGGTAAGGGTACTTTGACTTGCTAGTGCGACAGGTAGGGAATGAGACATTGAATGACCCCCATAAACCATGGCTTATGGTTTCCTTTAAGGGGACTGGGTTCATTCCTGCATTCCCTACTGAGCACCAGCAAGTTTTTAAGCCAAGCAAATTTCGTAGGTGCGGACTCGAAGTATTTTTGGCCGCCTGTTTTTGGAAGGGTCGCACCCCTGAATCAAGTCGCGAAGCGCAAACACCTTTTTTTGGGTAGTCGACTTTTTAAGCCCCTCCTTTTAAACAGCCAGCCGAGACAAAAAACTTGCTGGTGCTCAGTAGGGAATGCAGGAATGAACCCAGTCCCCTTAAAGGAAACCATAAGCCATGGTTTATGGGGGTCATTCAATGTCTCATTCCCTACCTGTCGCACTAGCAAGGCAAAGAAACAAGCTTCGACCTGTCAGCTGCTTTTCACCCTGGCTGGGCTGGGTGCCAGGAACCTAGTGGGTTCTGACTCAGGCCAACCACTTTCTAAGTCGAACATCAAAGTGCAGATTTTCCGTTGCCCAACGAACCCAGAAGTAAAAGGTGAATCTTGTGGGACCACTAAACATTGACCAAAATGCGAAAGCCGGTGTAAAAGGTCGATTCGCTTGATTCGCTTTGGTTGAGTGGCCCCGGGCTGTTGCGGCTGTGCTGGACTGTCACGGCTAACCTGGTCACCCGTCTGTCACAAGCTCTCTGCCTGTTTTTCTGACCTAGTGTTGGGATGACCGCGTTGGTCAATCTAGGGATCAGGAAAAGATGGCCTGGAGCCCCCAACAAGGAAAACAAGGTGTCGGTGAAAATTTGTGTCTCAGGACGATTTGGGAGGGACCGGGCGCACTAAATTTCCGCGCATAAACCAGACCCCCACTTCGTGGCCGGTAAGCGCATTTTTGCCTGGCTCATGTGCCTTCAAGACCCTCAAAACGACATCCATTTTGTGACCGTGGCTCATGTGAGCCACAATCAAAACCCGGCTAGATGAAGGTTCGTAAGGGACAATCCCAACCATAAACAGCTGCGGATATCCGCCTTTTTAATGCTTTACTTGGCTCTAACCCCTCAAAAGTTAAGCTTTTTGCAGGGGGGGTCCGCAGCAGACACACCCATTTTGCGACCGTGGCTCATGTAGACCCGGGGTTCACCGAGGTTCGACCCGCGTCGCCAGGAGACGAAGCGTGAGATTAGGGCCGCCCTGAAGAAGATTCGCGCTGGCCCCAGAGAACGCCGGTGAACAACTTGCCAACTTGGCCAACGAATATCTCAGCAAGAATATGGGTAGGGGTCAAAACTAAACCACCAGGATATGGCCCGCAGGTTTTGGTCCATGTTTCCACTTACCAGGGCAAGCCACTTGGGGTACCGATTTTTGACCCACAGCCATATGATGCATCTCCCCTGTTTGTGTTGAAGGGGTTTGTATCACTACTGGACATTGGGGATGCATTCGCAACTGGAGGTAGGGTAACTAGGGGAAACAAGTTAGTACCAAATGATTCTAACCTCTCTACTGGAGGACCTAGTATGAAAAGGGTGTGACCCCAAAGGCCCCGTGTTGGACTTTTTGGAGCCAAAAGCCCTGAGAATTGCAACCACCACCAGCAAAACAGCGGGGTTCATATAGCCACCATTGCTTCAGGACTGTCGTCAGCAAAATTGGGTCCCAAGATCACATTCTCTGTCAACAGTTTTGCATCAAACATTCCAAAAAGGTCGACCACGACCTTTTGCTCAGAGTTGGAGTTGGGAACTTAACCACTGTACAGGTGGAGGCTTAAAAAGAATAGTAGGTGGGGTTGAGCAAATCACAGCTGTGCTTTTGGCTCTGGAATCTTTGGCTTCCAACAAATCTCCGTGGAGCTTTGGTGCACGGACGTCCAGCTTCTGGAAGCTGTCCGGCGGCGAAATGATGCGCCTGTCCTTGCTTTGGTGCATTTTGCCAAGGGATGTGAGGACTGAACAACTTTTTGCCAACTAATGGGTTTTTCATTAAACCACTAAAAGTTAAACTTTTAACAGGGGAGCAGAAAGCAACCGAGCCTGTGCTTGAAACGCGTGTGCAGCCCACTCCACGGCGTGGCTCTTTCCCTCTCTTTTGGGCTGGAGAGCAAGCTGGAAGCATAGGTGTCCTTTTTGTTTGTTTTGCTCGAAAAGTAGATGGCGATTCCTGGTTTACCTGGTGGTTTAATCATCTATAGTAGGGAAACCCATCTATTTCCATTAAAAGGACACCTATGGCTGGAAGGCAGCTGCCCCCCTTGCCCCTTTTCCGCAGAACGGCAGCCGTTGCGCACCGCAAGTGGGGAATGGGTTCGCGAAAGTGAACATTTTTGCCGGGTTCTGCCAAACTACTAAGGGAGGGACCACAATTTAGAGGGCCATTTTGAGGAGAATACCGAAATTGGCGCAGTGTCGAATTTGGCGTTTTGTTTTCGATGGTGAAAGGGAAACAACAAGGACACCTGCCATTTTTTTTAGGTCTGGCATGGTTTAGGACGTTGGTTGCAAACTTGGCGGCCCCATTTAGTTGTGTCTTAAATCTTAGCTTGTAATCACTTCAAACCCCCCGAACATCAAACAAACAACCGTCCATGGGTTATCAAAAACCGGGGTGGGTCGCTCTAGTTTCCCCCCAGCCCAAAGAAAGGTACTTGGATGTTCGATTCGCCAAGTTATGTGGAAATGGCCACCTGGGTTGTAACTAACCCGCGAAGGTGAACTCCGCTTGGGTGTTTTAGCTGAAACTAAGGGTTGACATCATCCAGACTCGGTCCTTGCCATTCTTTTCATGGGGGTTGAACTGGCGAACCCTTCTAGTGAAACACACCCACGTAGTCTTCTGGAAGCTGACAGAGCCCAATTTCAAGCTGATGGTCTCCAGTTTCCCTTTCAACCATCTGAACGAAAGGTGCGAACTAACAAACCTCAACACCCAAAAGCCAAAACAGCGACCCAACAACACACCAGCATGGCCGAACAGCCAAGTACCTCAAACAAATCCGGCGGCCTATCCCCCACATGGGTATGGGTCAAAATTAAACCACCAGGATATGGACCGCAGGTTTTAGTCTTTGTTTCCACTTACCAGGGCAAGCCATTTTGGGGTTACCCTATTTTTGACCCACAGCCATATCTTATTTCCCCCTAACACGGTTTCCAATGCCCCCAAACCGCTACCCAGAGGGTTAATGGGATGTACAGCCACTGCATAAGTGGTATATACCCCAATTTACCCCGGAATAGTGGTTTGGGGGGTAGTGGAACCCATATTTCCCGGCACTTCCCACACCAGGCCTCACGAAGACCGTGGACGACGAGCTCGACGACGTGAAGGATGAGGACGACGAGGACCTGCCGGAAGCGCAGGCCGCCGAGATCCATCGCACGGATCTGAACCAGAAGGGGCACAAGCCATGGGTTGCAGGTCTCCGTTCAGTGGCTAGGTCCCCCCAGCTAGGTGCCCTTTCTCACCCCTGTTTTGGTTGGGAGAGTTCTGCAAGGAAAAGGGTACCCTTAAGCTCTCTACTGGAGGACCAGACCCCGCACATGGGGTGAGAGCCGTGGAGCAGGAAGAATCCGAAAACTCAAAAATTGCAACATCTGAGTAGGTTCTGAGAATGACGGCCCTTTTTACGGGATCAGACCAAAAAAAAAAACTAGACCATGGTTGGCCCGAAAGCATAACATCGCAAGCGAGGTCGGCCCAACGCTGCAGGATGCCTTCTTGTTTCCTGGCCTGGCACATGCGCGGCAAACTTGTTTAGCCCCGGCCTGGCACATGCGCAAGTTGCTTTGCGCAAGTTGCTTTGCGCAAGTTGCTCTGTGCAAATTTCAGTGCAAGTTGCTCTGCGCAAGTTGCTCTGCGCAAGTTGCTCTGGGCAAGGTGCTCTGCGCAAACTGGTCTGTGCAAGTTGGTCTGCGCAAGTTGCTCTGCGCAAGTTGCTCTGTGCAAGTTGCTCTGTGCTCCGCGCAAGTTGCTCCGTGCAAGTTGGTCCCTGCAAGTGGCTCCCTGCAAGTTGCTTTGTGCAAATTACTCCGTGCAAGTTGCTCCCTGCAAGTTGCTCTGTGCAAGCTGCTCTGTGCAAGTTGCTCTGTGCAAGTTGCTCTGCGTAAGTTGCTCTGCGCAAGTTGCTCTAGGCAAGGCTCTGCGCAAACTGGTCTGTGCAAGTTGCTCTGCCCAAGTTGCTCTGCGCAAACTGGTCTGCGCAACTTGCTCTACGCAAGTTGCTCTGCGCAAGTTGCTTTATGCAAGTTGCTCCGTGCAGCTTGCGAAGCCCGCCCGCGGACCAGGGGGGAATCGAACCCGCGACCCGCCGTTCCCGGGAGACCACGCCGATCCTCGCAGAGGGTCGCGCGAGCCAATGCAAAAACACCTCGACCACGCCGATTTCCGCAGAGGGTCGCGCGAGCCAAAACAAAATCGCAAAAAACCTCGAGTTTTTGCACCTCGACCACGCCGATCCCCGCAGAGGGTCGCGCGAGCCAAAACAAAATCGCAAAAAACCTCGAGTTTTTGCACCTCGACCGCCCAGATCCCCGCAGAGGGTCGCGCGGGCCAAAACAAAATCGCAAAAAGCCTCGAGTTTTTGTACCTCGACGGTCGCGCGGGCCAAAACAAAATCGCAAGAAACCTCGAGTTTTTGCACCTCGACCACGCCGATCCCCGCAGAGGGTCGATTTTCGTAGAGTGTCGTCGGCACTACCCCGCCGCCCTAAGAAGAGATTTTAACTCCTCGCAAGTCATTTGCACTTGACTCCGTGCACTTGCAACTTGCACTTGACTCCTTGCACTTGCAACTTTCACTTGACTCCATGCGTTTGCAACTTGCGCTTGACTCCATGCACTTGCAACTTGCACTTGACTCCTTGCACTTGCAACTTGCATTTAACTCCGTGCACTTGCAACTTGCACTTGACTCCATGCACTTGGCTCCTTGAAATGACTCTCATGACTCCTTGCAATGACTCCTTGCAACAATCACTCCTTGCAACAATCACTCCTTGCTAAGACTCCTTGCAATGACTTTCCTGATGATGATTCCCTGCAATGACGCCTTGTAATGACTGTCATGAGAACAACTCAACTGAACCCAGCGGAAGAACCCTTCGCGGTGCTTTCGGGAAAGCGCCCCAAGAGATAGCTGTAAGTCTCCGTGCAGTGGGGTGTAGCCAGGCTTACAAGCCACTTACACAGTAGAATGCAATCTTTTCGTGGAGGGGCCTTTTTGGCAGTGTAAAAGGAAAGCGAAAAAGAACAAACATCCAATTTACGGGCCCCGTAAACCATGACACACGCCCCTGTGTTTCCCAAACTCCAGAGTCCCTAAGAACAAAGGGAAGTTGTGTTTACATCGTATTGCACCATGGCTGTTCTTTAATAGAGTCCAACCCTAAGTACACTGTTACAAAGGTTCCACTCTGAGTACACTGCTCTTCCCGAAGTTGCCCTCGCCGACTAGCTATAAATTGGGACCTCGCCTTTTGGGCCAATGTTTTGTTTTTTTTAGTTGGCTTCAGGTGGGTGGGGTGATGTTTGCTTGGATGTTCGGCCAAGTTAGCAAGTGGTTGGCCACCTGGGGTAGAACCCACGAATGGCAAGGTTAACTGCACTTAGGGGGACTTTTTAAGAAGGTTATGGCTTAGGCTACTAACAATCTAGTTGGCCGAGCCAAGTAAGGGGTAGATATAGGGTCCCTTGGTGGGGGTCATGTTTTACGGGGAAACAAAAGGGAGCCAAGTGTTCAGCCGACCGACCCGAACTGCTAACGGCCCCCTTTCTAAAAAGAACAAGTGGGTGGATATGAATCCCCTGAATGATGTCCACTACAGGGTCCCCAGTTAAACTTCGCACCCATATACGGACAGCATTTACCGGGATACCGACTAGGATTGATAAGGTTTAATACCCAAAGGGCGCCCCTATTGAAATTTATAGTGAAGTGCATAGGTGTCCTTTTTGGTTGTTTTGGTGGGACAATAGAGGGCGATTCCTGGTTTACCTGGTGGTTTAGTCATCTACCAGGGAAACCCATTTGTTTCCTCTAAAAGGACACCCATGGTCAAGTGATGCGGGAGTTCTTTTGCAGGTATGCCATGCCAAACCTGGGCAAAAGGAGCTCCTGGTTCTCGCTGGCGCCACAAATTGGTTTCAAGAACCACCCTGGTTCAATTTCTTGAAAGGCGAGACCCACAAGCAGATCCTCAATCCACCGTGGTTCAATCATAGGTGGCTGCGTCTTTTTTTTGTTTGAGGAAGCCGCTTTTTGAGTAGCTTTAACACCAAACCAAAGGGAACCCACCGTTTTCGGGGGCGCCCCTTAAAAAAGACACAGGTGTTGACCCATCCCGAAAACAGGCACACTCAACAGGGCTCCTTAAAAGACACATTTTGCAACCATTTGAAACATGTTTTTTTCCACACCAGAATAAAGGGACACCAGCATTTACAAGTTGCAATGTTCAGGTGTATAATGCATCCGGATCCCTGCTCAAGACAGGCAAAAACCGGCATAAACAGGCACCCAAGAAGGACCAATTTCAAGGAAAGCAGCTCCTTCCCTCGACAGGTGGGTACCTTCAAGGCGGGTGAAGGCAAGTGGGGCTCCTGCGTGCGCATCGCCGGGAAGCTCAGAGCCAAGACTAAGGGAGTTCTCACGCGAGGCTCTGCGGGTTCCTCATCTAGGTCCCCCAGTAGTGCCCTTTTACCCTTTTTGGGGGGTAGGGTTCCCCTACTAAAAGGGTTCCCCTACTAAAAGTGTCCCGTGGCACCGATTATTTTTCCCATTTTTTTTGGTGCCTGCCCCACTAAATGTGTCTTCCGCAAAAAGGGTTCCTTTTTTTCCAGGGTCACTGAACAACTGAGTCATGGGACTTGACTGACCTTCCGCTACAAGGGAAACGCTTGGGCTGGGAGAAAATCATCAACCCCCAAATATGGGTATCTCAAACAATGTGTTTGGGGTGGTCAAAGTAGGACGGTAATAGAAGCAGTATAGAATCCACAGCTGGAAAAAGCAAACTTGAAGTCAAAAAAGACCGCCTTGCAGCCTAAGGGCCTTGCGCAATGGCAGCGCACCTGACCATAGCTTTTCCAGCTGTGAGGGAGGTCATGGATCGAGCCCGCACATTGCTCTCCAGATTTGAACAGAGCTCCAATGTCTGTTTGCACTCTGGCTTGAAGAACCGGCGAATCGGCGTGGCTCAACTTAGGTGTTTAGCGGTTTGTTAGTGATTTTATTTAATGGTTGGGGTTGTTGCGGTTAACACTTGTGTTAAAAGTAACAACCGATAGCGGAAGGCATTTGAATCACACTCAGATTCGAACCTTGAGTGCCTGCAGGATGACACTGCTTGATTCATGCTCCGTTCGCCATTTTGGCGAATTAGCCAAATTTTTCTTTTCTTTCCGACCTACCTGCCCTGCCTGCTCGACCGCCATGACTGCTCCAGCGAATTTCGCATCCATCGTGGAGGAGTACCAGCTCATGGAAATGACCGAGCTCGACCCGGATTATGAACGACTGTACCGGGCCCTTCAAGACCATCTTTCGATCCTGCCCGAGGCGGTCTGCAACCAGTTCATCAACCATTCCGGCTGCAGGGGACGTGCACCTGCCTCTGCCCACCAGTGCGCCTTTTTGCATCCGGAGTTCGTTGATGCGCGTTGGATGCCGCGAGACAACATCTGTTACCGACATCTTCGACAACAGGCCCGGCATCCAGAAGGCTTTTGCGACAGTGGTGCCGAATGCCGCCATGTTCACAGCGACTCAGTCCTGCATGGTGACCTTCTTGCCTGGCTGCGCTTCGTGCACCATGCCAGACCCAACACCGGCGTGGGCATCCACTATGACACAGCCCACCGTGAATGGCGCTTCGTGTCCAGGCGGGAGGCCTTTGAAATCCTCCGCGACCACCTTCACGGCGAGTGGAACACGCCCATTCACCACATGAACGTTCGGTACCCCGATCCGTGCACCTACCAGATGCCATACGCGGTACCACGTGGCCCGCCAAGCACATTGAACCCGTCTCGCCAACGGAACAACACCCCCCGACAGCAGCGAGGCCGCTCCACACAACCGGGATACTCCCGAGCTATGACACCACCGCGGACCGTCAACTTCGCGACACCCACGGCTCGCGACACTCCCAGACAGGCCCGATTCCCGGAGGCGACCACCACATCGACCGGGCCCGTCCCGCACCACATGCCTTCACCACGCCCGCAACCCACCACACCATCCAAGGCGGCACCCCCCACACCATCCAACCAACATCACGACTTAGTCCAGTGGCTCCAGCCGCCAGGCATCGACCGTGACGACAGCACACAAGGCCTGCTGTCAACCCAGCGGGCCGGACACATCCGCGCGCGGGTACACGAAGATGCCACCTTCCTGATCAATCCGGAACTGCTACCGGAATTCCCCTCCGTCCTCGACCACATCGGCTTGCAATGGCACCTGACCAACTACGGCATCTTCTCGCGCACCCCCACCAATGTGTACGGCAATGACTTCGGGGGCCTTTTTCTTGTACCCGTGGAACCAACTACGCAGGTCACACCTCTCAGGAGCCTGCTGCGCTGGATTATCCAGCAACACGTTCACCAACAACTCCAGCTGCTCAACAGCGCCAACCGGCAGCACATGCTACAACAACTGACCTGTTCCTGGCTTACCTTCGGGAGGCAGCTCTGTCGCGCCTCCCGGCGAGACCCTTTTGTGGACAACATGGCAATCACCTTCGGGGAGACCATCATTGAGACAATTTCCAATTTCCTGACCCCCGAACAACGCACCATGGCGACCATCGAGGGCATCCTGCTCGGCCCCGACGGACACCTGCGCTTCAACCGGGAGCTCTAAGACTGAGCAGAGCCAGGACTCCCGCTACTGACCAGGCGGCACCGAGGAGTCTCCAAACCCGCCACCCTAAGTTGACCCACCAAGTCCATGTCCCGTGCGATGGTGGGCCAGCAATAGGGCGATGACCCTCATACCGCACAGGTGACACCCATGCCTAGGCGACCGCCTGAGGCCCCCTTTTCCCGAAGAGAGATCCATCTTCGGACCGCGCAAAAGCGCTGAGAGCCTCGAGCCCGGGTCGACCCTCTTCGTCCCCCCTGTTTGATTCGAGAGGATACCCCTTGACAAACCGACCCACTGCTGAGGCCCATACTGCGGTGACCAATCCCCACTCGCCTGCCCCGAACCCGACCGGTCTTTCACCCCACTTCGGATCCCCTGTGGATTACCCTCGGTTTCTTCGGGTCGGATCCCTGATGACAAACTGGCCGACCCCGGTCACCTTCACACCGCAGGGAGTTGGTCCTACGGGACAGCTCCACCCCTCGGGATGACATTTGTGCCGGTGTGGCGTGTCATCTAACACGACGTTTGTGCCGGTGTGGCGCGTCGTACAGATCCCCCCCATCAACGGGCCATCCTTGGACCCGAGTCACCTAGACACACCCCCCTGGCCCGACCAACCCCCCCCCCTTTGACTCACACCCGGCACACTACCGACTCCTGCGTGAGTTCGGCAAGCGCCACCTCCAATTCCGAAGGAATTTTCAGGCTGGCTTTTGTGTATCCGATATCGCACCCCCTTCGCACAACATGGCACTTCGCGAGACCGACGCAGTCTGCGAGCTCCTCCTGCGGTCCTACAACACCGGCGTCCTCTCGAGGTTCCAGACCTTCCGCACCGAGAATCCCCGCCTCTCCACCACGGACGCGATCGACCTCTTCATGGAGTCGACCAACACCGAGCCGGACACACGGACACGCTACCTGCTGCTGGACTGGCACAACCTGAATCCAACACCAGCCACACTGCAGTGCTCGTTCTGCCAGATCCCATACCAATCCCAGTACATCATGCCCCTCTGCTTCTCAGAGGAAACCGACTGGCGAAACAAGTGGGTCGGGGCGTGCTACGGGTGCGCTACCTGCGACACCAGTAGCGTGCCGTGGTTCCAGTTCGAGGAGCTCCTGGCCGACCCGAACTCCCTGATTGCAGAACACGCACCGTACAACACCATCGCAGAGCACCCCGACCTCGCGGCCATGATCAGCGACCATACCATCGCCCCACCGACCTTACAGATTGCGGTGCCAGAGACGGACGACGCTCACGACGCCTACATCACCGTGCACAGGTGGGACCAGGTCAACCGCCGCTGGATCAGGGTACCAGCCCTCGACGTGAAGAACCGCCGGCCATTCACCCTCGAGGTGTTCAGCAAGCTGTGCCGACGAGCATGGCGACGCCGCTTGGACTACATGACCAACAAGGCCGTCGGCACCATCCGCACGAACACCCACACGGACATGATGGACTCCTTGCGCGAGATCCACCCCGGAACCTCCAACAACCACCTTCGCCGCCTCATCAGCGACCACTCCAAGTTCCTCGCCGAAACCATGTGCCTCGACCTCATCAACCTGGCACCCGAGGACCGACGAGACCTATTCCTCATGTTCCACAAATGGGAGAGGCAGCACCTCACCGAGGCATTGCGCGCAAACAGCACCGGGACCCTCCTTGAGTTCTTGGACTCTGACGACTATCCCACACACCTCACCGATTTCATCACCCGCGTCCTCCCGTCCACCGACGAGCACTTTATCTGCCGACGTCAGTCGTGCAAAGCGGTGGTACATTCGTCACATTGGCTGCGCGCCACCGCCAACATCACCGAGCACGGCCAGTTCTTCTGTCCCGAGTGCCTCCAGCAATACCACCCCTGGAAAACCTACAGTGACGCCAAAGCCGCATCCCGAGGGGAGGCCCTGACCGCAGCCGGCCAAGACGACACAGAACGCTTCGTGCCGGCCCAGAAGTGCCTCGTGGTACGCGCCACCGCTGGAGCACACGAGACGGACCAATTGGCAGAGGCCATCACCGGCGACGACGACCGGCGCTACATGCTCTACCTTCTTCGCTGGGAGGAGGACACGACCGGCAAGCTCATCCAACAGATGAAGGTCCACATCAACGAGATCGCATCCGACCTGCGACAAGCCAAGGACCCCCGCGCCTATCTGGCCGACATGATCATGAACAACATGCAGACGGCTCAGAAACTGCCATACATGCACAGGACCTTCTGGACCCAAGAGAAGCTGGAGCAAGTCGCCCAGCGCAACCTGGGACGCATCAAGCCACTCCGAGTCGACCTGCTCCCCAGCCAGAAGCGACAACGCCACCAACCCGCCACGCCCTTCTACGACATGCGGCGCTATCGCTACGACCCCAGTTCCACCCGCATCCTTGAGTCCTCGGACCTCGCCAGAGTGATGGGGCTGTGCTTTTGCCGCCTCAAGCTCTGGACCTGCCAAGACCTCGAGGGGGCGGACCGTCTCAACCACTTGAGCGCCCTGTGACGGACCTCGACCAGCACCGCAACCACTACGACCCGAAGGGCGTCCGTGTCCCGCGCGAGCCCGGAGGGTCCGACCAACGCGGTTGCCTTCGCACGACCCATCTTCCTGAACCTGCCGCCGAAGTGCAACCTCGTTTGGCAGTACGTCAGGACACCCGTGCAAAGAGCAAAAGGCGCACCATGTGTTTGAAGCCAAACACCCCTAAATCCCCCCGAACTTTCGCT